TCTCAAGTTTTATTGAGTTTCACATGTTTTATAGTGCAAAAATTTATTTTCTTAAATATTTTTTGTCGATGTGGGATATATTTATAGTGCAAAACATTATTCTCTTATGTGTTTTTTATTGATGTGGGATGCATTGATTAGAAAAAATCGATAATTTTTAGTTATGAAATATATTTTTTAGTACTAAATTATTTGGTCATCATTGAATGTGTAAGGTATAGGTGACCAATATTAAAATTTTGTCATAATTATAATACATTATAGTGATGATTTTTATCGACAAAAACTTATTTTATCTCTATAAATATTTTTTATAATGAATTTTTTTATTTATCATTAAATATGTATGTATCTGTGACTAATTTTTTAGATCTATTATAATTATGATAAATTATAGTGATAATTTTAAAATTTATCACAAATTTCTATCACTAAAAATTATTTTTCTTGTAGTGCATATGGGTGCAAATCACGAAATAACCTTTGGGCAGCTTTTACTATCCTTTTTGACTATATATATGAGGACAAATCTCAACACCCTTTAATTTCATTTTATTTATCTGTTTGTTAATAAAAAATAAATATTCATAAACTCTTTTAAATTATTATATTTTCTTGATATGACATATTGTCATTTGTAAACTATTCAATACTTCAAACAATAATAGCGTCAAGCTTCAAGCTCAATTGCCCAAGGTCCAAATGCTCATCTTTAACCATATATATATATATATAAAGGGTAAGACCCATTTTGTTTTAGGTTTCACTTTAGTTATTTATTTATTGATAAAAAATTAAATAAAAATTTTAATTTAAATCTTTTAACATCAAATAATTTTTATAAAAAATAAAAAAAGAAAAGAATAATATCATTAAATTAAATTTCATTTAATATTTAAATACTTAAAGTTTTGAATCTTATTAAATTATTATCTTTATTATTTATGATTTTATTAAATAAACAATTTAAAATCTTAAAAATAAAAGTTTAATTTAATTTAATAATATGATTCATAATTTGACTTTAAAGGTATTTACTTTAATTTTTTTACCTTATTTTTAAAATTAATTCATTAATAAATTTTATTTTATGAAAATAATTTTCTAACATGTTCTTTTATATTTAATGTGCCTTTAATAATTAATTTTTATAAAAAATTAAAAATAATTTTAATTTATTAAAAATTTATTTAACATGTCCCCTAAGAGTATAAATTAAACTTCATTAAATTTAAAATCTTTAATTAATTTTACATAACTTTTTATATCAAATTCTTATATTTTTACAAATTTCGATTATAAATATTACATTATATTTTAACTTTACATTTTTTTATTTTATTTTAATTAAATTTGATATAAATATTCATACGAAACTAATTAAAGATACTATATTTAATAAAATTTTAATTATATCTTAAAATCACATATTAAAAAATTTCATTTATTAAATATATAATTAAAATTATTAACATAATATTAACTTAAAAAATAACCTTAAAAAATAACCTTAAAAAATTAACATGACGGACAAACAGCCACTGCACGGCATTTCATTTCCCCGACCCAT